CTGAGATCAGCTCTCACTTCCTGACCACGACCTCCCATCACACAGGTACATTCTGCTGTAAGCAGGAAATCAATGGAAGAGGCATATAGCATGGGAGGTCAAGCTTTCCCAGGAGCTAGACCTTAATGATGCATCTGGCTCCCACAGGAAAATAGGAATGGCTATTAACTTCATTGCCTGCAAAACTAAAACCAAAACTCATATATGTGAAAGGAATCAGAAAGGAAACCGGATGATAAATAGGACAGAAAAGACAAATTATGTTTGCTACAATCCAATTACTCTTACAAAGGGAGAAATAGGGCAGTTGGCTTGCTTATATTCCTTTAACTAAATGGCAGATGCTCAAAGTCTGAACTATACAATACATGGATATATCAAAGGCTCTTGTACTTTCTTTTCTAATTCACTCCTGCTGTGCTACTGCTGTAAACATGTACATGGGTTATCTGTACACACTGAGCCATAGGCATTTTCAAAGTTTGTCTCATGAGCCTGTCAGTTTTGAACTTTAATTTAAACACAGTCATGTGCTGTGTTTTGTGGCCAAAGACAAGTAACAAGTTCAGAAGTGTCCTTCTCACAATAATTTTCTGCCAGGCTTCCTAAAAGTTGTATGACTCTTAGGAAAGCATTTTGAAGTGTCTCTGTGCCCCTCTGATTCTACCCTTGAAGTTAAGAAGGCAAGGCCAATGCTCTACAGCCAACTCAGATGTATTTTACTGGACACTTTATTTGTTGTAAATCTCAGGGTTCATTTAGTTCTTTGTCCCCTGAAACTTGTTGCAACTATCCCTCAGTCTCTTGTGAAAGTCACCACAGTGAGATGTCCTTATTTTCTGCCAACTTTCTTTCTTCTCATCCACCCACTCACACCAAAATTATATGTTTCCATACCTCATCCAGTTCTTCTGTCCATAATTAACTGAAATATTGGTTACCTAAGAAAATTCACAGCAAACTGTGAAAAATTTTCATATAAATGTAGAAGTATAAAAGAACACTTCCCTCTCTGCCCTAAAACTTGCCCTCATCTACAATGTACACATGATACCATAACTCCCTATTTTAATTTTTTAACCCTTTCCTCAGATATTTTCCCACTAATATTTAATGGCACTGTCTTGTTGCACTTTATCCTAAGAAAGAAGTCTTCGTTTTTTAGTAGAAAATAACTTCACGGTACTTTCTACTACAACAGGGGTATGCTCACCAATCTGAACAGTCCTGGTTTCTCTATTTAGACCCAGAGCTCTTCAACTCATGGCCTACAGACCACATCAGGACAAACCAGACCAGCAGGCAGTGGAGAAGGTCTGTGGCAAGATCAATGGGTTTAAGAAAATTTGCTCTGCAGGACCTCAAGTGCAGAGCAAAAATGATCATCCTGCATTTGCAGCAGTGTTAAGTTGAGAGAACCCCAGAGAACCCCAGTTTTACACACACAAAATGTTACAGATAACATTAAATAACTCAAAGCATTGCGCTAAGCTGCCTATCAAGCATCTGTATCCGAGAGATCCCAGATGTTGCCAACACTGGAGGCAGAAGGATTGTACAATCTGTGTATACACGCCCACTCAGACCCCACAGACTGAGAGTGAACTCTTAGGGCAAGTATAAGAGGAAAAGCCATTTAGGTATAAATGATTTCTTATATTAGTGTTCGGTGAGTTTATTACATTCATAATAGCTTAAAAAATTGAAAGAATTAGAAAAACTGCTGGAACTCACAGACTTGACTATAAAAAGAGGAGTATAGCAGAGAAATCTGTTTTCCAAAGCTGTTAGTTTCATTTGACATAGATGAATATAATTTTAAACTGATTGTAGTCATGGTTACAGTAATATACATGACTATATATTTTTTTCAATTCTTTTGAGAAGGCAAAATACCTTAAAAAAAGAAGAAATATTTAAATAAAAATCTCCTCATCTTTTACAACTTAAAACAACTTTTAAGGGAAGTGGGTAATTATAATACTGAAAAAACTCACTAAATCAATTATATAAGAAAACATATATAAGATCTGCTCTATTGATGATCACAAATTATGGATCAGATTGATTCTGGACACAAAACTGACAACACAATACATATGCATAGTGGCAGATTTTTAGAGAAAGAAAAAAGAATGTTGCTGAAGTGGAAATAAGGGAAAAATAAAGGAATGTATGCATTAAGTACTTCCTATCACTTCAGCAGGTGTGGAACACAGAAATACTGATTTTAGTCCAGGGGCAACTCAGGAGTTAACCACAGTGCAGGCGCCACAAAGGAAGAAGAGAGTCAAATCTGCCAGCAGGATCTTATCTTTTGATTCCACATTTTTTTTATCAACTACAACGCAAAAGAGATGTGAAAAATTTCTGAAGCCATCCCCCTGCTATCAGGAGCAGTGAAAATGCATCCTACTAGGCACTGAGATTAGTAAAATGTTTTGTTGGGTTTCTTTTTCTACAAAGAAAAGTAAAGTATATATGTAAAGTTTATACTCAAGCACAACCAATCATTCCAAGCTTGTTTTAAGGATATTTTTAACAAGATTTGTTCATACAAGAGTGAGGTTGCCTTGGCAACTGTAACTATAGAAAGGCAAGGTAATTACTTTTACAAATCCTTCCTAGTACTTCTTCCTCTTAATAGGGATGTGTAAATACCTTGTTTTAAGCTACGTTTACCCAAAATATTACTCATCATTGTTTCTACCCTTGAGGCATGGGAATCCTAACATATGCGCTTAAAGCAGGTTGAATACTGCAAAACCAATTTGCAAATGCTTATTTCAATTTTAAAAAGTCAGATCATGCATATCTGCTCTTGAAGTGAACATTTGAAAATAATCCAGTATTCTGTTTTCATATTGCAAGATCTCACTGAATAAACAGTACCATGTATTCAAACGTCTTCAAATACAAGAACAGTTCACTTTTGTGAACAGTAAGCATAAGGAATTAAGCTGCAACTTAAAATAGTTAAACTATACTCATGTAGACAGATCTACTGCGTCACTGCACAGCTCTACGTTGCACACTGCGGACTTACCTGTGTGCTGAAACAATTTTGTTCATCTCTTCATTATGTGGTAAAAATGTACTTTGATTTCCCTAACATAGTGTAGAAGATCCATTATTAGTGATATTTGGCATAGTTCTACTAACCCCTAGGCTTGTCATTTAATAACTTATCCCATTTTTCTTCCGTGCTTGTTAAAACAGATGATGTCCGTTTAGGCTTAATTCCTTCCTATGGCCTTCCTGGACTGATTTTGCCACAGACCTCCCTCTCAGGCCGTGCTGTTCATCTTTGGCTTACTGATGCCATGGAATACATCAGCCACAGGAATGGCTTCTTGCACCAAACTGGGGAAGGCAATTAACAGTAGTTTGCAAATTGTCTATTTTCATTCATTATCAGAAGAGTAATGTTTTCCCCGGGTCTGCATCCTGCCTGTATGAATGCTGTCCTGAGTTATGGTTGCAAACCACACCCTAGGAAAGCCAGTTATACTGTGTAACTGCAACACATAGACTCTTTTCTTGTCTGTGATTCTGTAACTTAAAACTTATCTAAAAAGCACAGAACCCTGTAACAATACTGAAAGTACTTTTCTTTTGTCTGTTCAAATGTCACTAAGTTGCACAATACTACAAGTGATCAAGGACGGATATCAGAAGGTGTCAGAAGTCACACACATTAGTTATGCTGCATCATCATCATCATCATTGTCATCATTCCAAGCAGTATTGGTATTTTTCAAGTCCAACCATCCATGTCAGTTCTGACTGGGAGACTAGCAGCATTTAGAAAAATGGGTATAAAATATGTGTTCAGCACCTGTTTTCTAGTGATTCTCAGGCTTACAGATAGGTTAATGTCCTCTAAATAATCAGAATAATTATGAAATTTTTATTCATATTCAGTGATTACACAGAGACCTTGCTTCAGTGAAGCGTTTTCAATGTTGTAATAGTATCAAAGCACTCAAAAATGATATTCAGAAGCTTTAATTTTCCACTAGCTTCTCAGTGATTAACAGAAAAACTGCTTCAAAAAATAGCTTCAGAAGATGCATGCATTAAACAAAATAATGTATAAAATCTGTTTATGATGTCTGTTTTAGGCTAAATTAAATATAACCCTTTATAATAATAATGTCCAGTCTTCACGAACGAA